CATTGGTCTAAAATTGTCTACTTAATTGTAGGCGTAATGTTTTGGCATCTACGTATAAGTAAATTAAAATTCCTTGCCACCTTGCCTTGCCATCTCCCAAAAATTTAAACTTTTCTAAACAGCTGAATAACATTAAAGGTAATAGATACCTACCCCACGATCTGTACGGCTCTTCACCCCTGACAAATCACACGATTTTAGTGTGAAAACGTTAAATAAAACAAACAGAGAATCAGTTTGAATGGAATAGTTAGGAAAAATACTTGTGTTCAGCATTTTACTCCCGAGTCTTTTTAACTAACGTGGAAATCGGGCAAATAAGCGAAGGGGTATTTGATTGGGTCCGTGTTCATTTGTATGTTCCTGGGAGTGGGCAATTTGTTGTAGGTGGGGTTGGGGTGAGTAGCACTGTGACATCTAGCATAATCCACTTTTATAATGAAATTGTGAGATAGCGTTTGTTCGTTGGTTTCGTGGACAAAGTATTCACAATATGTGGGATAATTACTTTCGTAAGCATAAATGTGGTGCTGAAGAGTAATTGAAGATTAATTGCCGTAGCTCAGGTTTATTGAATTCATCTTAATCTATTCGTCGCTTTCAGAAATGTTTTCGCAAACCTTTCATAATTAAATTCAAACCAATTAATAGACGTGGCTTTCACCCGCAAACTTCTGTACCTATGCTCGTAGATCCTTCGGTTCCAATAGCTCTTCTTTATTCCATTTAGTGACGAAGAAAGATACGACTGTGACCTTATATCAGTGAGAACTAATGAGTCATCTCTATTGAGAAACACCGGTGAAGTATCCATGAATGCAAATTCTTCTATAAACTCTGAATAGACATGGCAAACAGGATAACTTATTCATGGTGACTTGTTTCAAGGATAAAACAATTAACACAAGAAGGTTCACGCTGATACTCCACGGGAGGCTAATAGACCCCACCGACGATGGCAGAATACCAACGTTAATGTTTGTCCAACGACGAAGAAGAGTTTTATAACTGACCTGACAGAAGCAATACACCCTTTGACAAGAAGCACTGAATGTATCACTGCAGATGATAATAGAGCTTTTGTAAACACTCTAAGTAAGTGAATAACTTTGATGTGTATTGTCGAATACAGGTCCATTCAGTTATGGCTGATGCGTAAAGCCGCAACAAGTTAAGAGTGGTTAGATAAGAACTTGCTGGTAAGCGATCCAAGTGATGAATGTGGTGAACTATACCAGCTATAAGGGAAACGTTTACGCTTGCTATTGTATCGGTCCTTAAATATCGCATTTTCATGTCAAAGTTTGACATTGCCAACGAATGATGAAGTTCATTTATTTAGCAGAGGACATAAATTTTCAGTTCTCTCTTCAATCACTCTCTGAACACTTAGATATTTTTCTTGTGCACGGGAATAATGCATTGCGATATACACATATGTTAAGTCAGTGTAAGTGTTTGCAGGATATTTTTTCTTACAGAATCCAGTGTGCTTGTTTTCAAGATTACAGATAAACGATTAACTTTCTATCATCAGAAAAAAAACTGTGAATCAGTTATATCATGCTCTTAACCGTGGTTAGTTGAAGACAAAATTAAACCTCCATAATGAACGCTTTTATTTTGTTCTTTTCAAATATGAACTTGTTTTGTCACGTGAAGAAATAAACTGATGGGTTGTTAAACATTCTGAGTTCAATCATCCATGGTATTAATTGGTTTGTTGTAATTTACAGAGGCTACCAGCAATAAACAGTACCAAAGAGGGCTAAGTAACTGGTGATTGCAGTGATGAAATTGCAAATTAAAGATGACATTCAAGCACGCAAATCCGCGCTTACCTAGATGAGTTGAGGCTTTCTAATATTTATCGAATTCAGTCTTGAGCATGAATTTGCAATAAAAATACCGGTGGAGGGGGGTTATTTGTATAAGATAAATGGTTTGCAGCGCCAGAATCAATAATCAGATTAAAATGCTTTATTTGTAGTACTTTTTCTGAAGAAAAAGTATCAGCAAAGTTAGAAAACAAGTGAATTGAAATTCAAAAGTAATGCACACATCAATGTTAAGAATGACCATTTGAATCGCTTTTGATAGATTCAAAATATTGTTTCCCTACCAATTAAGCATACTTTTTTCAATAGTTGTAAACAAAAAGATCCACCTGCTATCTGGATTTCACTATCAACATATTTTGCGTGAATGCGAAGGCAGCAACTGTCTGAGAGATTTAAAGCAAAATACCAACATCCAGTTTTAAGTGAAAAACCAAAAACAATGTGTTTGAGATTGTGATAGCAGGGGCTACCTTGATCAGGTTTTCTCTACATCTATGCAGCTCCAATTTACACCGACTATTCCTTTCATTTGTGTTTGGATAGTAAGAGTTTAAATGCACAGAAAGTGATGCCATGCACTATCAGTGTGCTCCAAACTTAAAAGAAACATCAGAATCATTTTGCATCAAGTATATTTGCTGGAAAAAATTCGTCAGCAGTTAAAATTGACCTAACTGCTTATATCTGGGAATTAAGGGTTAATAATTCAAGCTGCCTATCATGGATTAGCTCCAGCCGTTGGGTTCCTATGGCAAATAGTTAATCTGGAGTAAATGGTGCTTGCTGTTGTATTTTGACTACCACCACTAAAACAGGAATCTATTCTTTGATTTACATCTTTTAATCCGGTTTCTACTATATCTAACCACTGAGTTTGGTAAGCAATTCACTAAAGGTTTGAATTCCAGGGGTTAATAAGATATTCAATGGCTGCCCGTAATTAACAAGAGACAAAGGAGTTGCATATAAGATCTTTTATCTAAAGTACAAATTTAATTAAAGAATTCCATATAAAAGGAGTATTCTACAGGAGCATTTATCGAGCAACATCAGACACTAATGGAAAGACGTTGTTCGTTAGATTGCGAGCTATTTCGAAAACGTTTCGAACTGCTTCGAAAATAGGGTGCTTAACACAAATTATTGAAGCAATTATCCGTTTAGGTCAAAAAACCGCATTTCATGATTTCAGTATTTACATGGTAGTGGTGGATTTTGTTGTGTACGGAGCCAACGAGGCATAAAATGAAAAACGATTTCGAACTGATTGGGCCTCGTCAGTGGTGCAACTTCATTGACTCAAGTAGTGATCCAACCAGATACATCACAGGTATAACGCAAGCACTCTATGTGCTTGAATACTGAACAGCTGGTGATCCATACATTCTACCTGTTGAATTAGTGGAATCGCACCAATAATCACATTCACCCAGGTCAGAACATTTGCACACTTCTACCTGACATTTCACTTCGTGCTTCATTTGCTCTGTACACCACGGAATTCACTTCATAACGGTATCAAATTCTCCAAAACTCCCATGTAACGAAGGATCAGATTAGGAATGTATTCGATCGAGTCTTAACCATAGAGACTAGTGTTTAAGGGAGGGGTATGTAGCCCAAAAGAAGGTTGTGAAAATCGGTTGTGATAGATATATCGTGTGTAGGAAAATGTAAAAGAGTTTGCTCAACTGCCCGGTGGTTATGTGTGTGGTATGCTTGCGTTCTATCTATGCTATCCTGGGACGAATCTAGGTTAAAGAAGCTGGCAGTGATTTCTGTTTTTTCAACTAACCCTTCATTTGCTATTTACATGAAATAACACATCATATAATAATATTAAATTCTTCACCAATCCCCCTAACAGAAGTTAATTAATATGCACGACTGACAAAATCCAATGAAGCTGTAAACGCTATTCAGTTCATATTTTCATCTGCACAGGATTAATTTCAATATATCAAACTGTAAGATGATTTAAAAAGTATTCCTATACGAAGAACTATTTACGGTGGTAAATGGTGTCTCAGTGCAATATCGAAGGTATATATTTACTTATTGCTCACAGTCCGTTGAACATAATGTATGATAACTTGGAAGTATTTGCAGTTACAGTACAAGAGGAATTCTTAAAATAATTTTTGTCAATTAATAGGAATATTCAAAGCTCAATTTTCTCTGCCATCTTGTTAAAGCCATATCGACAGTTTTATACCAGGAAGTGATATTGGATAGAAATTACCATTGTTCGTTGAACTACGGTATCCATTAAGAGTATCGGATCATGAATGTTTGACGACGTTTCAAATGGACTTGCATTATACAAAATCTTTTTTTCGGGGTGAGGGTGGGATGGGCTGAGGAAAATACAAAGGAAGCTACGCATATGAGCTACGTACTTGGTTTATTGGCTTTTTGATTACGATATTTTCAACTCCCTTTTGTAAACAAAGATATTGCTTCATCTGTTACATCTACAATAATTGCAGTTGCATATATTCGAGTAGCAACCAATTTCAAATAGCTGTTCCAGGCCAAAGTCTTATTGATAAAAAAACAAAACTGCCACTTTACCTTCTTCACCATAATATTGACAGCGGATACAACGCTATTACAAATTTAGCGTGAATTCCAAAAATGTTCGTTTTCAAAAAAACCATTGTGGATGGTCAATGAGATAGATAAATGACTTCATTTTCCTCTCTTATGACATCGACACGGTACGTGGGTCAACATATATATTTTATCAAGTTAATTTGTTTTTAGTGATGAAATTGGTTATTCTTCAGGTTTTTGAATATAATTGCAGTTACCGTTTTGTATGATGAAATGAGTTCTAAATATGGAAAATCCAATCAATCATGATGCGTTATTTTGCGTTTAAGGTTGGCCACTATTCATCATCATTTGTTGTTGTATCTCGCCTTCCTTATTTGCATTTTGAATGCTGTGATTTTATGTTATTACTTCATTTTCCCACCACATCCCGTCGAACTGGGATTGGTTGTTTTCTAACAACCAAATTGATTGACCAATGAAATTAGAAGTACACTATGGGACAGTCTTGGAACAAAAATCGCACGTAGAAATTTCATTCGCGTTCCAATTTCGTTCACATGTTTGTGTCAAGTAATTTGTGTTCTATCAATCTTTACCGCTATGTCTTCGGGGCGTTCAACAGAAGCAGATGGTTGTCCTCAGGTTTCGAACATTGAAGAACTGATGGTGAATCAATTTCGTGCGTACGTTTCACCTATCCTGTCAATCGTTGGAATCATTACAAATATTATCACAATGATTGTGTTTATCATCCTTCAGCATCAAAGTCCATGTCGTTTCAATTTGTACACCATTTGGCTATCATTTTGTTATAACATTCAGTTGGTGTCAAATTGCTTCCTGGATGATTTTCTCGGTCGTGGTCTCCGATGGGCAACCAATTGCCACTTTTGGATCCAAGTTGATGTAATGTCATCTTTCAGTTGCAAAGTTATCACCTTCTTATCTGAGTTCTCAGCTCTCACTAAAGCCTTTATACTGATGTACTTTAGTGCCGATCGTGTCTTTTCCGTCTATTATCCAACTCGGGTAACGGTGGGTGGTGGACTATGGTACGCTCATGGTGGTATATTTGGTTCGTACGTGCTGGGTCTGTTATTGAACACACCGCAATTGATCTATGTCGATCGGTTTCAAGATTCGGATAACCAATACAGCTGCGGTTATGTGGACCCTGTGAACCCCGGTGTGAAATATGTTTTATACTTGTATATCGTTGGGGCCACTTTAATTCCCTCAGTTTTCATCTTTGTCACAAACCTATTGATTTTGTGTAAAATGTGGTTTGTGATGAAACGCAACTCGGTAAGAGGACAACTGGATCGCCACTCTTCAAACGAATTAAGCAAAATTATTGCTCATCTGGCCATCAGTGTATTGTTTGAGCTGCTCTCACTTCCTATCGTTGTTGGCATAATTTTGCGCCAGCAAGTCTACATCTTGGAATATGATAAAACTCGTCCAGTCTATGCAAAAAGGATTATTCAACTGACAAAGCTTTTCAGTTCCATGGATTGCATAAACTATGCGTTTGACTTCTTCATATTTCTCCTATTTATGCCCACGTTTCGTCAAGTGTTGTGGAATCTCTGCAAGTGTTCCAAAGATCTCTTCAATTGGAAATCAGCCGATTGGAGCAATGCATCCCCATCGATGGGACAAACCATGTCAAACAATTCTAATACTCCTACTTTGTGTAAAATTAAAGAACTTTCAGAACACAGCTGTGCGGCAACTCTCAATGAATCTTCGGTGCAAACGTCGACAGTTATAATAACACGTCTGTGAATAAATGGCTCGCTTTCTGTGAAAGATTGTGTATAACAAGATTCTGTGTATTGATTCTTCATTGATAGCTGTGTATGTTGCCATCATAGCGGAGATTGTGTACAGATCTTTGTGAGTTTTCGTGACCCACATTGCATTATTTTCGGTCTTATTTTTTTCGCCAAAGCATATTCATTTCCGTTGTTCCATCAAACAAGCATGAATAAATTATCGTTTTACTAATGTACGTTGTTTGTAGAATTAATGATATATGAAACATTGGGATACTAAAATGTGAGCAATGAAGTAATGTGAACAAACTAGTTCGGGCTACACTGAGAAAAGAGCGTGGTTAAGTATGCTACCCCGCAAATTAGGTATATGATACTTGGAACTCAAGAGCCGAACGCTTGATGAAGAGTTTGTGCAAGGCGGACATCGATTTTAAGTTGCTTCATTTGATGAACCTACATTTACTGACAGGATTGATTTCTGCAACGATTTTCTTGCATATTGAGAACTAACTAAATTTCAGAACTGTAGAAGCAACAAGTCATGCTTACAACCTCAAATAATCATTACGAATCCACCGTTAGTGCTAAGTTAAAACTAACAAAAATTCAATTTATAATCAAAACAAAATCAAGGAAGTTTGCACCTATGGTAAATATATCCTTTAATAGTTTCCACCTGTGCCGTTCATGAAATTTTTCTAAACATATGCTTAGTAAAAGATTTTGAACTAAAAATGTAAAAGAGCACAAATTTATGATGTTCAGGAAGTGTTCCTTGTCACTTGAAAAGTCATGTTTTCTTGACAAGTCTGAACTACGGGATCAGCTGGTGAACAAAATAAAGCTTTTGAAAAGTACGTATGTATTCTTGAGGTGGTGAATTATTACATAATAAGTAAGCTATCCGTTTCTTGGCCAACATTTATCTTTCTATCCGAAGTTTTGTGACTCAAACGACTTCAGAGTAGAGCCTCTTTCAGATGGTAAAACTGCTTATTTAGAGTTAATTAATACTACCATTTCTCGTGCGGTGACATTTAAAATGTGAGAGAATTCATGCTAAGGTATCTCATGTTCTAGTTTACTCTAAAGCTAGCGCCTACAATTTCCTATCATCGACACTGTGGAGAACCGATCGAATGCAGTTCACTTAAGAATTCTGGTAATGACTCTTTGTGTTACCGATAAAATTTGATCTTTACAATTATAACGCCACAAACTGGCATTCTTCACGAGATTGCAGAACACCTTGTTATTTGAGTTTTGACAAAACCTGCATATTTCCAAAGCCTTCTAATATTCAAAGAGAGCAAATCAAACCATTTAATCAAATAATGTTTAGTGTACATGGAATAGCCCAGTGATACTCCAAATGATCTGAATATTTATATTTTCTCAAGCACTGAGTGAGTGCAACATTAAGCCAACTGAAAGCGAAAGATAAAACTCGGGGAGCCTACAGATGAAGAAAAACAGACTTAGGTTATTCTGTTCGTCCTCTAGTCATAATAGCAATCATTCAGACAAATGTTTGATTTTCGGAAATACAATAACCGTACAAGAAAATGCATAGAATTAGGTATGAAAAATTGTTTGGCTAAATTACGCTCGAATAGCTGTAAGAGAAGCGAAAATATTGCTTGCAGAATCCAATGCTGTGTGAATCGAAAGTAAAAATGCTTCTGCTTCATTGATAACAGAATCTTTAAGGTACACAGATGTGATTTCCGGAATAGCCATCATGAGCGGTTCCCAGTGCTATATATACAAAATAACTGTTGGGAAGTCTATCAGGGTTGTTGTTAATAATTCTTCTAATGTTGAGGAGTTATTTATGATGTTCGATTTGGTTCTGATCCTATCAAACTAAGTACCGAAATTATAGAGTTATTAGATTCATTTGATCTGAACTAGGTTGAGTGCACATCACTTTGTTACTTCATCCGTGGTCGCGAAAAGGCTAAGCCGGGTATAACCTGATACTGAGTAAATATAGCGCGGGAGAAGAGTTTGAATTGGGATTTGCCTTAAACTGATGGTAAAACAAAGTTTATTTCGATAGCGACGAATGATGTGGAACAATTATTGAATAATAACTGCTTTCCGTGTCTCCAGCAGGTGGTGCCAGATGGCGCAGTTAAAGAGACGTTTTGCCAGATTTATCTTTTATTTACTGAGCACGCAATCACTGAAGAGAAAATGCACTCTAGTTCCGGTTTTGTTCATCTTGTTAGCTGTGGACTGCACCTGGGTTACACTACAGTACTGGTCGATTATGATGCACTAAAATATTTTCTCTATGATCAAATAGAGTTTCATTGTATTTATCGCCTATATTAATGCTTTGGGTATGAACAATAATTTATCTCTTGTCCACTTCGATCTACGTAGTTTCTAAGCTGCATGATTGTCAATTAAACGTGCCTGACCTTGGGTGCCAAGACTAAATGATCTCAACATTAAAACTGCAAATTTGTATCAAGTTTGACAACGCAATATTTTCTAATAGGAACGACTCAAGAATTATCCCTAATTATTTCCATAAACCCTTGCCATTTCGGTTGTTTGTTGTGAGGCATTATTTTATCTTTTATATAACTCATTACAGCAACTCTATTGCATAACCAGAGCAAATTCTTTTACAACCCGAAGAAATTGCATTAAATAAGGTTCCAAAATAATAATAATCTATGTTTGATATTCAACCTACTGAATTCGAGAAATACCACTTCAATCAATGTCAACCCTGAAATCAGGGGTACTTTTGTGCACAGCTTTGAATGTTTGTATTGCTGTCACTATACTGAAGCAAGCAGCGCTCAAAACCGAAATTCCCCTTTATCTCAGTGAAGAAGACAAAAACAGTATTGCACGAGCTCACAAGCTGGGGTTTTAAATATAACATCTTGCCCACTGCTTTGACGTTAATAAAAGCACAATTTACAGGATAATCCATGGAAAAACAACAACCAGAACAGCTTGTGGAGGCCGTAAACCCAGTACATCCAAATAAGAGGACGACCTAATTCGTATTACTTTGAAAAAACATTGCTGAAAATCGTTATTCTCTATCCAACGGGAAGATGCGTTAGTTTTCAGCATTGAACGCGCAGCAAAGTCAGGCACGTATTGGTTTTGCCCGGTAATTCAAATCTCGACGTGCGTCATTTTGTCGAATGGGTTATTAACCCGACTAGTGCATGGTGTGTGACGAGCCTTGATCTGGACATGAAAACCACAAACTTTATCAAGTATGACAACGCAATATTTTCTAATAGGAATGACTCAAGAATTATCCCAAATTATTTCCATAAACCCTTGCCATCTCTTATTTGTAATGAGGCATTATTTTATCTAATATATAATCCATTATAGCAAATCTAATAGATAACCAAATGAAGTTCTTTCACAAACCATAGAAATTGCATTAAATGAGGTTTCATAATAATAACCCATGTTTGATATCTAACTCAGAAACGGTGCGTGAGTCTAAGGTCCAGTTCATGCACTTTGACCTAATAGCCCGGATCTCAATGTGATTGAAATTCTGTTTTCTGTTTTGAAGAGAGAGGTCAATGTGCTACCTATACATTGAATGTCGGAGGCAAAAGTGCGATACGTAATGGAGCACATAATAGAAAATGATTTTATAACGAAGTTGGTGGATTCGATGCAGAAGAGACTCAAAAAATTCCTAAAGAACAAAGGCAAACCAATCGAATATTAGTGTAAACAAACTTTACACCTTAATTCTTATCAATGTGAATCTGTTGTAAATAAAAAATGTTTCATTGTCTTGAAGTACCTCTTAAATCATCATGGTCTAGGTCAACCACTACTGACGAAATGGGAGTGTCTGCTACATTTTGAACAATTCCATATGCTGAGTATAAACAAATCAGGAAAATTACGTCTATAAAGACTTACCAAGGCTTATTTACTACTATTTGGAAAAAATTTACTTCAGTATAAATGCTGTTGCTTATACCAACCGACGTGTTTCACAGGGACCCGTTGCTTCAGTTGCGATTAGACTTGTATAGTAATACATCTAAAAATGCAAAACGCTTGTTCTCTCACTCGTTAGGTGATTTATTTGCTTCGTTGTATGCATTAGATTTCTCTAACAGTGCATTACTAAAACCCCATCAGACACTGACCAGTACTAAAAATTGAACGTGTGTATGGTATATTGTAAGACTGTTGTTTGAATGTACCGAATGAATATGGATAAAGCAACCAGGTAACGATTTCAATGATGGATAAATGCTATCAATGTTACGGGTTTTACCTGATCGACTTAGGCATTTATAAAATCGACTTTCTTTTTTTTGTTTTAAGCTTGGTATCAAGATCAAAAATGGAAAACAGTTTGGATTGAAGCAAACCCGACGCTTTCAAAAAATATAATGTGCAAGTATACTGTTATGTAAAAGACGAAGTTAGTGAGTATAGTTTGGGTAGCCATATTTACTGATTACTTCTATTTTCTATAGTACATCCATCCTTTTACAGAGTTGTACTATGTGAAGGACAGAACTTAGAATAGTCACATTGAATGAACTGCTCCAATCAATTTTGTCAGTGGAAATCCATGAGGTTTTCAAATCACAAATAATCGTTACCTGAATACTAGAACTATCGTTTTTTACTTTTCAGGGTTCTGATTTCCATCAGTAACCTTTTTGCAGTTTATATATATTCAATGTTTTTGCAGTAGGTTCGTCATGCCTGGCTTTCTGTTTCTTGATCGTTTCGTGTAATAATCGATACAAATGAGGAAGAGGAAACTTCTATTACTCTTGGTAAATGTACCTACCAGTCTAGATTTTATTTTGTTTCTCAACATTGGGCTATCGACATTTACACATGTTTTCTTTTGGTTTAATTTTATTCGTTGAAGGGCAAAAAGGAGAATTAAAACAACGATTATCAACACCTGCATGTACAAATTCAATAGGTTAAGGAATAAGGAATCTAGAGAAAGGGTCGATGCAGAAATGAAAT